CAGATAGCTTATGACTAAAGAAACAAGGAATTATATAATTTGTTTAGAGCTAGCCTACCAAGGAGGAGTTAAAGCTCAAATGAAAGATATTAACTTTTTTTAAAGCTTATTTTAGAATGTTTTTGTTGAAGATCTATACCCTGTATTGGTTCTGGGAAGTGGGGGCAGGGGGAGGTTGGGAGTGGAGGGTTGGGGGGAGGGAAGTAAATATTTGTAAAAGTTTTTTTTCAAAATTTTCATTAAAAAATAAGAAGTAAGCAGAGGCAATCCTCCAAAGTGAGGCCTGTTTAGTTCTGAATAAAGAAACTACCAGTGTAAACTTGAGGTAGTTTTCAACTTATGATCAAAGTTGAGCCAAAAATTTCTGTTGCTAAGTGAGACATTTGTTAAATGAGTTTTGCCCCATTTTATGACTTTTCTTGCCTCAGTTATTAAGTGAGTAACTCAAGTTCTTAGGTTAATAACATAGTTGTTAAGTGAATCTGACTTCATTGACTTTGCTTGTACAGTACAGTATAGTCTTTGTAATTGTACAAAATAAATACAACAAAATTGGTTAGAAGGCCGGAAATTGTCTGAATTATGCTCATGTGACCAAGGACTATCTGTAGCAGCAACCTGAAAAAAGGCAATAGCCAATCACTTACGTTCTGTAACCAAATCAAGTACTCAAATCTGAAATGAATTCTCCTGGTAAACCTTCAGGTTTTTTTGCTTAAAATCAATTAAGTAGAAAAACTATTGACCTAATAGCACCTCAATACACCTTTTTAAATTCCTGTTTTCCAAGAGAAAAAAAACAGAAAGTGTCCTCAGCTGAATTCTCGTTCAGCTCAGAGGAATAACGTATCAGGCAGAAAGGTCCAATTATGGATCTGGATTAAATCTGCCGGTTCTGAGAGCTCTATCAATTCAAAACCTTTGCAGATGAGGCGAAATGCGTCAGTCTTTTCCCCAGTGCTACCACCTCCCTCCTATCTACCTACCTACCTGTTCGGGGCCGGTAACACCTTCCTGGTCCCGCCACCCGCATGCCCTTCTTCCCGGATTCCCGGATGCCCCCGCCCCCCGGCCAAAAACCACGAGGACACCTTACAGTACCACCAAGTTCGTGGTCCCTCTCGATCCGCTCCCCCAGACAGGGAGCGTTTTCCCAGTTGCACGCTGCTCCGAGCCCGGAAGAGAAGGCGGTCAGGCGGGGCGGGGCGGCTGCGGGGGTTCTTGTCGTTCTCGGCGGGCGCCGCGGTAGCCATGAACGGCGTGGCGAACCCGCTGCTGGACAAGGAGGAGCATCCTCTGCAGCTGGGCGAAAGCTTCGAACGGCACCCTAAAGCCTCTTTCCACACCATTCGCTGTGAGTGCCCCGGCAGAGGCGGCGCTTATGGGCCAGGCCGGCGACCCCAAAACATCGGCTTGGTTAAGCTGGCCTGGCCCCGTGTCAAAAGAGGGCCCTATCCGCGGTAGCCTGTGCCTGCCTAACCGAAAACAGGCTCCACTGAGTTCAGTGTGACTTACTCCCAGGTAAGTGGGTAAAGCAGCCTTCCCCAGCCTGGTCCATTCCTAAGGTTTGGATTACAAGCTCCATCATCCTCAGACAATCAGTAGCCGCGTGCTGGGGTTCAATACTTTGGAGCGCACTATGTTGGGGTAGGCATACCTACACTTCTGTGGGAGTAAGCCCAATTGAACTCGCTTTGTGTGCTGTCTTGAGCTCTCAGAGGACAAGCTAAAATTTATAAATACATTTAATAGCACAGGACATTGATTAATATCTATTTGGAGCACCAGGAAAGAATAATTATTTCCAGAAAAAAGGTGATACTGTTGACTACTTACAGAGTTGTTGTTTAAAAAAACTGGCCTTATAGATGAACTTCAAAAAAAAAATGGATGAAGGAAATTTAAAAAAATTAAGGCTTTTCATTTTTATTTTTTGTAGCAGATACTAGATATAGCAGATAAAAAATGAAGATGCTGTGTTAGAGTTTTTTGTGTTATTGGCTAACAAAGAATGAATATTAGCAGAACATTATAAGGTGATAATTCAATTTAATTCCTATTCTGCACATTCACCCTAATAAGCTGGCTCCAAAATTATTTGAATGCCAATGAAAAGAATAACATAAATAAATGTTTCTAAATAAATACTATAAAACATCCTTGATAACATGATGTATATTTAATATCAGTTATTGTATCTTCTAGATGATTTTAAACCAGCATCTATAGATACGTCTTGTGAAGGAGAGCTTCAAGTTGGTAAAGGAGATGAAGTCACAATTACATTACCACATATTCCTGTAAGTTTACTATATCTCACATTGCAGATTTGTCTTCTATGTCAAGTTCTTACAAGCTTTGCTCTGAATTTTTCATATGTAGTCAGGCGGAACATGATATGCTTATAAAAACAATTTGTGGAAACTTGTTTAAGAGAATGCCATTTTTAACAACTGTCTATCAAATGTGCTGTGCATATTTTGAAAATAATTTCAAAAAAATATTTTGGTCTGACTACAAATACAACTTGCTACTGTATCATTGAAATAAGCACTTCTGATTTCCAGGCAAGCTTGAAGAAAGATGCTGCTGCATTAATGAATCAAATCATCAGTATAATGCATCTTTATATCGGGTTTACAGTACTTTTGTCAGGTCCACTTAGGGATGCTGCCATTCTGAGTGGGGAGGGGGCAAGTTGTTGGAGCTGAATTCTTTGCATGCTTTCATTTTTGCTATAATGGGTGGGATTTAGGGAGGGGGCAATGGATGGGCTTCAGTTCCTCCCATCTGGTTCTCTAGAACTATATTCAGTTCTTTAATTTTATTTCTGATATAGGATATAAATAATATTGATGATATGTTTCAGGGGTGTCAAACTCGATTTCTTCAAGTGCTGCATCAGCATTGTAGTTCTCCAGGGCTGGCTAGGGGTGGGGAGGAGGTGGGAGACAGGACGAACACCAACTGCAGCACCCTGCTGACCAAAACAGAGCACGGGGGCCCACGTTTCCCCCCCCCCATGCCGTGTTTTTGGCTTAGACGGCCTCCTGCAGCACCCTGCTGACCAAAATGAGGTGTGAGGGGATGCGGTCCTCCCCACTGCCTGTTTTGGCTGCCAGAGGCATTGCAGGCCGGTTCTTTGCTATTTCCAGATTTAAGCATTCTGTGGGATGGATCCGGCCTATGGGCCTTGAGTTTGACACCCCTCTTATATTTGTTTGAGATATTGAAGTAAACTTTCTGTTTGATTTCTTTATAAACTATATTCTGAATTATAGAATATAAACTATAAAATATTATGTTGCATTGTGTATCTGCATAGAGAAGAATATTTAATATGAAGTGTTTATAGTGACAAAGTTAGCCATATTAGTCTGTTGTAGCAAAATCAACACATTTTTCTCTACTGGTTTATGAGCATTGTCATTCTAATTTCAGATATTTCTTACTTGTAGCAGACATAGTATACAGACTTTTTGGGGGGGGAAGATTAGCAAATGAATAAATCATTTTTGCAAATAGAAAGTTCTATACCAGTGATGGCTAACCTTTTTGTCCCCACGTGCTGAAAGCATGGGCAACATAATGCAATGTACTTATGACACCCCCACACATGCCTGTCAGACCCCCCCAAGTGTACCACGCCCCTGCACATGTGCCCCCCCAGTGTACCACGCCCCTGCACATGTGCTCATGACCCCACACATGCACATGAAACCCCCTGCGCTCCCCCCATACATGCACACATGTCTCCCACATGCACGGCAGTGCCATAGGTTCACCATCACAGGTATATATAGTAATTTTGCCAAAGTTCATATGATTTCTTTCCTGCATATAAAAATATTGTAATGACTATCATAGAACAAAATATTAAGAAAATACCAATTAAAGCATAATCTTCTGAGTTGGATTTTAGACTTTGATTATGCTATTCCATTATATCTGATTATCTTGACCTGCACATAAATACTTGTTTATATTCAATTATATTATTTACTTTTCTTGAAAATCAGGGTTCCACACCTCCAATGACTGTATTCAAAGGAAACAAAAGGCCTTACCAAAAAGACTGCGTACTTATTATCAACCATGACACTGGGGAATATGTGCTTGAAAAACTAAGCAGCAGCATTCAAGTCAAAAAGACAAGGTAAACATAAGGTTTATAAGGTTATATGGTTTATTGTATTTATATGCCGCCCTATTCCCAAGGGACTCAGGGCGGCTAACAAACCCAAAGGGGGGGGGGGTAACAAGAAGGGAATACAACAAACAAAGTACAAAGAGAATTTAAAAAGACAGTCAACAATCGCACACTTCGAGGGGGGAAGGGACCTCGTCAACCCCAGGCCTGCCGGCACAGCCAGGTTTTAACGGCTTT